AAGTGTGGTCTGTGGCGTGGGCAAGAAGTACTTCACTAGAAGGAAAAAGGAACACGATGAGGCATAAAGGCATGGGATAGCTTAGTGCTTGGAGACTTCTAAGTGAGTGCCTTCCTTCTACCCGACGCTCATTGTATGGACTATGATGTGTATTGCTACGATGCTAGACGTGATGCTCCCAGTGTTCCCCCAGGGTGGACAGGTTTTAATGGAGCTTTCAGGTGAATCCAGAGAGAGAATAAATAACTGGTGATCTTCCAAAAAGCAGCCAAAGAAAATCCCATGGATCACAGTAGAATATTGTGTCATGTTAGAAAATGAGCCCCGCGGGGTTAAGAGCCAGCCCAAGTACACAGTGGCCACAGTACATGTCAATGATCCCGAAGCTGTTGCAGTTACAGGCAGCACTAGAGTTTCTTGAAACATGAGGTCACTACGAATTGGAGCTGACTTAGAGGTACCTCACAGCCACAGTTGTCAGTACGTGTAGCTGATGGGATGGGGCCAGGAAGCAGCAGGAAAGGATGCCATGAAGGCAGGTCCGGTAGCACGGCCTACAGAGGAGTTCAGACTACATCACCAGGTCAATATGAGACCTGGAGGATCTTAATTCATGAGTGACACAATCTGCTATGTGTTCGAGAAACTTTATGGAGATATAGGCTTGCTGCATTGCAGGAGAGCAAAATTAAAGCAGAAAGTCTGTCAGGTATGAAATGTCTTTAATTTTCTGGTGAGAAGAATGTATTTGTTTTAAAGATTTCACATCTCTTATAACAGCACCCAACTTGAGGATGTCTGCCAATTGCTTCCCATTCCCTAATCAATTATTTCTTCCCGCCTCCCCGCTAATGTCCGTCCCAAGGAGCATTCTAGTTTGCCAAGTCCCTAGAGAAAAAAACAAACCATTTGGATGCTGTATATTTGTGTTGGTACCAGCCTCCTTTGTAATGCAGACAATTCTCGACTATTCTCAGTTGGGGTGTTTTCTGTGTTTATTTTTGTTTTCTTCCCACTCTGGCAATAGATCTAAGAAAAAGTAACATACATCCTTTTAGTTTAAATAATCAATAAGAATGCAAATACACCACGACAGATGGGCCCTGGGAACCTAGGACCATTAATCATATATTCCTGAAACTGAACCAGTGCCTATCACTTTAGAAATGAAAAATGTATCCACATAAATGATTCCAGGCAAATGCGTTTGCTTGTTCTGCTTGTTAAATACTTGCATGGCAATTTAAGTTACTGTCTTATACTTTGTAATTGATTGGCAGCCTCTAAGTGTTTACCTTTCATACAAATTGACAGCTCTTGAATAATTCATCTCCCACACCCCTAGCATGCTGATTTCTACCCATAGCTCCAGCACTCTCCGCCCTCTATTTCTTGTTGATACAACAAACAACTTGAAAGTCTTCTTTCGTATTGGAGGTACTAATATTTCTCAGCCACCATTGGACACTCGTTTAATGTTTATTTGTTGTTACATGCTTTGGAGGTAAGGTAAAGGGACAATTTATTCATCACAAATGGTATAACTTAGATATTATTACAGTAGGATTTTAAGATGATTTGAATACTTGAAAATTGAAGCATGGCGACAGTTAAACAACTATGGTTAATAGTCTTTAAGAATAAAACTTGAAAGAAAACGTGTTTAATAAATGTGTCAAAAACAGAATATTATATGGAATTTACAATTCAAAGTGCCAGGGTTCAAAGCCTGTACTCTCTTTATTAAAATATCATGTTAGATAGTTATTAAATTGACAGACATTTCTGTTTAGATTTGCATTGATTTTAATACACCAATTGTATAAACCTTGACTCTATTCTATTTACTTTGCATGCTAATATCTGCCTATTCAAAGACATAATTATCTTGGATATACTAAAAATCATGCTGTATATTTCATGATCACACAGAAAAATATTCTTAACTCCAAGATATTAACTTTGAAAGGCGTTACACTTTTCCTCTTTTCTGGGTAAGAGTCATTATTTTTAAGAAACAGATCTAGTGATTTGATACATGAAGGCATGTATTCACTAAAGCTAGTCATTGCCTCCTCACCAGTGGTGGGCTTCAGCTGGTTTCCACTGGTTCCAAAGAACAGACAGCTAATTAACTGGTTGTTAAATGGTACTTGTAATCAGGGTTCTCTTGAAGGTGGGTGGCTGGGCAGCTACTCAATGTGAAAATCGCAGATTTACATTCCTTACTCCTTTTTTAATGTTCATCTGCATAGCAGTGTATTCTAAGTGCCTATAGTAGTGTGTATTCTGTCCATAGGTGTAACAACTTAGACAGAACCATGCATGGGATATTTATTCATTTCATAAAACTTTTTACACTTTTGATGAAATACCGAACTTCTATTCCCTTGCATTTGTTACTTTAGTAAAAAAAGTACATAACTTTAAAAAAATGTGCCAAACATAGGGTGACACACTATAATTCATTTCAACTTTGTGTTATGCCTCCAGATTCCCATGACATAGTACAGATGAATCATGAAACTCCAGCAAGTGTTCCAAGGTCTAAGAATATTGTCAAAACAATTTCTGTAAGTTCAGCATAGCAGAAAAGGGTTTTTCAAAGATAAACAGAATGTCTTCAGAGAATAGAAGTAGCCTATTTCTAATCTATCAAACACAATAACTATTGTCTAATTAGCCTACATGTAAAAGAATGGGATTCAACTGCTACAGTGAAAAGATGGCTCAGGATAAATCAAACAGCCAATGATGGTCAGATAAAAGCAAAACTATTGCAAGTGAGGAGTCCAATCAAGAAGCAATATGGAAAGAGCTTACAGTTTTATTGTTTTTGTCAGGTGTTTAAAAATATTTACTAATTAATGTTTTAAAACTTTTTCTTATAATACAATCTGGATTTATGTACCTCTTTTATAGTTATAATTTAGTTATCAACAGTACAAAATAATAAACTATATTTGGGTTTGGGGTTTTTTTTTAGTACTTAAAATGGTCACGAGGACAGAGACGGGTTGTTATTCGAATCCCATCACCGCTCCTCATTGGTGCATTATAATCTACCGAATTTCTCTGCCACAAGAATGGTTTTTGTGCTGTTTTAATGGTTCACTTCATATCCGCTGTGTATTACACATCCTTAGATCTCTTGACTGCTGCTTACATAAGCATTGAGTGTGGATCCAAGCAAGGCGGAATCCTTGATAACTTCGATCTGTTTTTCATGTATCATGAGGGAACTGCTGGTCCAGTTGTGAAGATTTTGGTTTTTTGTATATTGACTTGTAGTCCATACTAAAGACTGCAGTCCTTGACCTTCATCAGCAAGTGCTTCAAGTCCACCCCACATTCAGCATTTCATTGGGTAAATCTACTGCACAAGACTTTTGACATTACTGATAAGCCAGGATATTACTGTGAGGACTAAGTGCGCCTGACTTGAGCAATGGTATGTTCAATTGTCTCATATGCATGTGAAAGTTGGTTATTGAATAAGAAAGAATGAAGAAGAATTGGTGGTTTTGAATTATGGTTCTAGCAAAGAATATTGAAAATACCATGGACTGCAAAAAGAACGAACAAATGTGTTTTGGAAGGGCAGCCAGAATGTTCCTTAGAGGCCAGGATGGTGTGACTTTGTCTCCTAAACTTGAACATGTTTTCAAGAGAAACCAGTCCCTGGAGAAGGACATCATGCTTGGTAAAGTAGAGGGGCAGCGTAAAGAGGGAAGACGTCTACGAGTTGGATTGAGATAGTGACAGTAACAAGGGGTTCAAACAGAAGAACGGTTGTGAGGATAGCACAGGACTGGGCAGTGCTTCCTTCTTCTGTTGTGCTCAGTGTCCCATTGAGTCAGAACCAAATGATGACATCTAGTCCAACTACAGACATACCACACTGTGCCAGGGACTGGTAATACCGTTCTCAAGGTCTCAAGGTGTTAACTAAACTTAAAGACAAACTCAAATATTTACTTTTTGATATACCAAGAGAAAATGAATTCAGGAATGTAGGAAATCAAAGTTCCACAATTAAAACTGGGGAATTGGAAAGACTAAAATATAAATTCACAAAACCGTCAGATAGGAATTGCCAGGGAATTCCTCTGTAAGCAGCAGAACACTGAATGTTAGAGATATGCCTAAGCTGATCAGTCAGTTAGGGTCAACGATCAGAGAGGGCTCTCGTGCGTGAATGTGGTGCAGAGATTGGAATCTCAAGGAAACGGTCAGCACAACATTGGGAGAATTTCTCAAGACAGAACAGTATGCAGGAAAATGGGGGATGAAAACAAGAGGTAAAACAACTTTTAAAAACTGAGAATTTGCTGTGTGTATTCTGAGCCACTGGAGTGTTCAGGGTTTTTTGTTTGTTTGTTATAGTTCCTAATAGATTTTCCCCCTAAAATTTCAATTGTACTAGAATACTAGAATATACATCCTAATAGCAGAATAGATTCTCTACTAAAAAATGGAAACATTCTATAGTGTTTATCCTTCTTTTATAGGTCATCCAAAATAGAGTTAAAAGCGATTGTATCTTTGTTTTTATCTTCACTTGATTCATCTTCAAATTTTATGCCATTTGATGATAATTTCCCTACACATAGTGATTGATTTAAAAGATTCTCTTTTGACCTCCGTATGCCCGTGGTGCTTGTTGGACTAGAGCTGATTTAGGGCCTAAAATGCCTAGTCACCAGCCCGGCTTCTTTTGAGTGGTGCGATTTATTTGCCGAATAGAAAAAAATAGGAGTCTCCCCTTTGCACAACTTTAAACTTTTATGGCAGAGTTCTACCACTCATCGTGTTTCATGGACTATTATCCAAATAAATAATGCAATTTATAATCTGAAAGTAATCCGGTTAAATGTCTCCAAATTATGATGGAAAAATTATGACTAGCTTTGGCTGAAATGGCAACTGACATTTCCTCCACAGGCGCTCTCCAAAAATGCTCATTTTTCCTTATGATGTCACGTTAAATTTCTTTTTAGGGGGATAGTTCCTATGTGAAAGATCGCTGGTGTGTTTTTGATGGATTTATGGTCTTTTGCCTTTGGGTTTCCCTGGTGCTACAGGTAATGAAATACTTTTAAACTACAAGGGGATGGGATATTTTTGAATGTGCATGATTTTGCTTTGAAAGTTTAAATAAAAATGTTAAATAATATTTGTCAAAGATAAGTATGTAAGTTCCTGCAACATTGGATGTATTTTGATTTTTTTAAATATAAAGCTTAAGTAACATTTAAATCACTGGTCATGTTTGTAAATTATTTCACAATCAGAAATGGGAATCCATACTACAGGAATTTATTTCTTATAAATTGAAAATGGGGATTTATTGAAATAAAGAAAAGGTTGTGAGAAGGGATTTCTGTATTTGAAGATTCAACATTTAAAAACAAAAATTTCAGGGTTTTTCTAGTCAAATTCTCACTAAATAGCAGATGAAAAGAAATATATTTGCTATATGCTTGTCATCATAAGATAGGATACAATAACTTAAATCCCTTACTATGAGAGTGTTTAAATCTCTTACTATAAGAATTAAGAAAAAAAATTAAGAACATATCCTAAAACATCCTGAAGTATAGATTCTATTGGAATATAATTTTCATAACTTTGTTCTGGCATGATTTTCCATTTACTCCAAATCTAGTAACTAGTGATTATCTATCTCCTGCATTAAGAAATTAAGAATGATAATTCCAAACCTCCTTGCCAACTCATTGAAGTGTACTGATAAGCTGTCTTTCCTTATTGTTATCCTTCCCAATAACCTAGTTTCATCTTGCATATGAATGATCTTTCCTATTTAAGAACTATTGGGGGACTGAAAACCGTTTTCTAATAAGAATATTTTGGTTGTAAGCAGAATCAATGATAAAATTCTTTTTTTTTTGTATTTTTCACAATATTTTAACTCTCTCTCCATCACTTTATCTTCTTACTAGAAGGACTCTATCAAAGATAGACTAGTAATGAAGATGGAGTACACTTTTTTCTTTTAAATTGCAACTTGTTTTGTGGTTTAAACAAACCTCCTCGATGAATAATTTGGGGGAATGAATGAGATGGACAATTTTATTAGGGGGTGTGTTCTCGTTTCTCTTAAGTTGACACCATCTTCAAAACGTACTAAACAAACGTTGATTGCAGTGGGAAATAGACTGTGTAAAATTAAGTGGAGGGCGCATCTATTGACGGGTGCTTAGTATATTCTATGACTACAAGTATCATTAAAGGGAATATGAAACATTTTTTGCTTCCCTCCTAATTTATAGGTATTTGAAATTGCTGATATAGTTGATCAGATGTCTCCTTGGGGCATGTTGCGGATTCCCCGACCTCTGATTATGATCCGAGCCTTCCGGATTTATTTCAGATTTGAATTACCAAGAACCAGAATTACAAATATTTTAAAGTAAGCATTGCTTTTGCATACATTAATGGGGAAAGTTCAGCATTCTTTGTGAAGGCTGACTTATTGTATTTACTTTCCCCCTCAACCCCAGGCGATCAGGAGAGCAGATATGGAGTGTCTCCATTTTCCTGCTTTTCTTCCTACTTCTTTATGGAATTTTGGGTGTTCAAATGTTTGGGACATTCACCTATCACTGTGTCGTAAATGACACGAAACCAGGGTAAGTTTATTGTTTAACTCCATAGTATTCTAAATAATTACTGAACTGTTTCTATAAGTCTTATGTGAAAGTGTTGTCTTAATTTTTAAAAATCTTTTGTGTGCCCTTTGATTTATATTCCTTGATACCTCAATAATACTTCTTTACTTCACAAGAAAAGCATACAAGACAAACCTGTTTGAAAAATGGAACCTGGCTGAAAAGTAGATTTACTCACTGCTATCCAGTCAATTCTGACTCAATAGCAAATCCACAGGGCAGAATAGAACTGCCCCTTTGGGTGTCCAAGGATATACATCTGGGAGCAGAAAGTTTCCTCTTTTGCCCTTGAAGCAATTGATGAGTTCAAACTACTGACCTTGCAGTTAGCAGCCCAACTTATAATCACCATGCCACCTGTGCTTCTGAAAAGTCAGACAACTTCAAGTTGTGCATTTACAAACCTTCCACAGTACATCACAGTGAAGGGTATGCTAACACAGTGCTGACAAACATTTTGTGGTATCAGAGTGAGCTATATGTTTGGGTTGGGGTGGCCAGTGGGGAACATAATTTTATAATTGCTAAAATAAAATTATGGTCCTCCTTATTTTAAGTGGTTTTTTAAACAGTTACTTTAAAGCATCAATTTTAGAAATAGCATTGATATCTGTTGTATACAACTGTCAAGGAGTAAGGGATAAGGTACAAGATATGGTCTGGATCATTTATGGAGTATTCCTCAACGAGAGCACCTGACTCTTCTACTTGGTCATTGGTTGTTAAAATATAGCGCTGGGAATGTAGGACCAGAAAAGAGAGCATCTAGGGAGGATGCTGAGCATAGAAGATCCACAGGTCTCCCATGGGGTGATGACAACCAAACAGAATTTGAGAGCCAGAGTATGCAGAGAGGTATCCCAGACAGCTCTACTGTGGGCACTGGGCAGTGGGCACTGACACAAGGAACATTAATTTTTGCCATTTGTTAAGAACTTGGACAGCAATTGTTGTATTGACAAATGATAACTTGTAGGAAAGAGAACTTGTAGGAAAGAGAAAATATCAATCCAGACCACTATTTTTTTAATTTAAAGGATCTGAAGCAGCCATTCATTTCCAAAATATTTTTGGTGTAGACATGGATACATCAAGGGACATATAAAAATCGCTGTTTTAAAATGATGACGCTGTCCCTTGGTGTGTTCTGCCTTTGGAGAGTTTTACATAAAGTATGGAAGTTCACGCATATCCACAACAAATGCATTATGATAAACTTTGGTTCAATTCCAAATCTTCCACCTATCAGGTGTACAGCCTTGAGAAAACCAGTTATTTTGTGCTGCTTTGAAGTATATTTAATAACAGAACCTGTGTTCTAGAGTTGCGAGTTAGATTAAATAAGATAATGAATGTAAAGCCTTTAGGTGACCAACATACAATCAGTCATTCACTATCTGTCCGTTCATGTAGTCCTCCCTCGGTATCCGTGGGGCCCCTTCCAAGACCACAATCTGGGATGCTCAAGTCTCCTTTCATGGGCACAGTATTTCGGTAGAACCTTATACAAATGCTTCAGTATACTTTAAATCATCTCTAAATTACTAAAACTCCCTAGTACAATATCCGTATATACTCAAGTATAAGCCGACCCCAAATCAGCAGAGGCACCTAATTTTACCACAAAAACTGCATAAAAATGTGCTGAAAAACTTGGCATATACACGAGTGTATATG